GGCATGAGTCACTGTGCCCAGCCGCAGGACTGGGCCTTTTAAAGAAATATTTAGGGCCAGGAGCGGTGGCTCACGCCTGTAATCCCAACACTTTGGGAGACCGAGGCAGGTGGATCATGAGGTCAAGAGATCGAAACCATCCTGGCCAACATGGTAAAACCCTGTCTCTACTAAAATACAAAAATTAGCTGGGTGTAGTGGCGGGCACCTGTAATCCCAGCTACTTGGGAGGCTGAGGCAGGAGAATCGCTTGAACACTGGAGGCAGAGGTTGCAGTGAGCTGAGATCGTGCCAGCATTCTAGCCTGGTGAAAGAGCGAGACTCCGTCTAAAAAAAGAAAGAAAGAAATATTTAGGTTGGCGCAAAAGTAATTGCAGTTTTGGCCATTAGTTTTCATGGCAAAACCCTAATTACTTTTGCAGTAACCTATAGCGCTACCAGCACAAGGCATTTGAATACTCTGGGAAGAGCATGGACTTGGGCGTCACAGAGGCCTGGTTTCAAATCCAGACTCTACTATGTGGCCGTGGAAGGGTTACTCCCTGGCACTGGGCCTTGGCTGCCTGGTCTGAGCCATGTGGACATGTGATGGGGGGACCTGAAGCTGGCAGAGCTCACCACCTGCTAAGACGTCAGACACATGTGGCCACTGAGCCCTAGGAATGTCAGGACTGAAAGGTGCCATGAACATGTAAAATACACTTCAGTGTTTCATGACTTAACACAACAAAGAATGGAACATGTCTCATTGGTAATTTTCTTTCTTTCTTTTTTCCAAGACGGAGTCTTGCTGTCGCCCAGGCTGGAGTGCAGTGACACGATCTCAGCACACTGCGGCCTCCTCCTCCCGGGTTCAAGCAATTCTCCTGCCTCAGCCTCCCAAGTAGCTGGGACTACAGGCACGTACCACCACATCCGGCTAATTTTTGTATTTTTAGTGGAGATGGGGTTTTGCCATGTTGGCCAGGCTGGTCTCAAACTCCTGACCTTAGGTGATCTGCCTGCCTCGGCCCCCCGAAGTGCTGGGATTACAGGCATGAGCCACTGTGCCCGGCCTCATTAATAATTTTCATTACATGTTCAAATAATTTTTTGATCTCTTGGCTTAAATAAAATACATTATTAAAATTAATTTCAGTTTTTTTTTTCACATGGCTCCCAGGAGATGGAATATTCCATGCGTGCCTTGCAGTGTGGCTTGCAGTCTGTTTCTGTTGGACAGCGAGGCCCTAGACGGCCACTACTGGGGTCCCGTTGGAGAGGTGGCCATGTGGTGGGGTCCTCCCCTGTGCTCCTGCACTCCCCAGGCTGCCACGCCATGCCAGGGCCCAGGAGGTGTCTGTTTGGGGGGTGAGAGGGTCTCTCCTGGCTGAACCCGGGCTGCTGAGTTACCCCAGACTAGCCCCTGCCCTCTCTGAGCCTTACCTTCTGCATGAGTGGGCCAGAGTCAGGGTTTCTGCCGTGGGCAGGGGGAAACCGAGTGGGGGTGAATTGGAGGCCTGGCCCTTCCCAAGGAGACCCCAGTGGAGCCTCCATCCAAGGGCGGCCCTCTCTGTCCTCCTCCCACTCATGAGACCACGCACATTGTCTCCCGTGCCCCCGCCCACCACACATGGTTCCCACCTCCCCTGTGTCTGGAAGGAGGCGGCATGCAGCGGCTGAGTCACAGCGGCCGGGTCCGAGGGCTGGCTTCAGCCTTTCTTGCTCTGTGTTCTGCATTGAGCAAGATAGCTGAACTCTCTGGAGCCATTTCCCCACTGGAAGAGGGGAAGCGGAGGCACTCTCTGATTTCCGTGGCTCAGGCAGTGGCACCTGGAGAGGCCACAACTGTGTCCCTCCACTGTCTTTTGACCAGCCAAGGTCACACTGGTAGTCATGCCAGATCCACCCAGGGTCCTCACCCCCTCTCCGCCTGTTTGCAAAGCCCCCTGGTGCCCTGGTGTTGGGCAGGAGGGACATGAATCAAGGCAGAATCCACCATCTTGGGCGAGGGACTGGCAACCCACTAGAATCACCTCTTGTGCCCTTCCCGTGCAGGCTCCTCACTATCTCCTTGTGTTCCGCTTGAGGTGCCAAGTGGGTGTCAGGGAAGACTCCGAGGGCGAGACCTGGCCCAGGACTCTCAGGGCAGGGTCCCCCGAGCTCTGGACCCTTCTCCACCACTGCCCAGCTAAGGCTGTTTATTCATTCATTCAAAAAGCACTTACTGGCTGGGCGTGGTGGCTTATACCTTACCTGTAATCTCAGCACTTTGGGAGGGCAAGGCAGGGAGATTGCTTGAGCCCAGGGGTTCAAGTCCAGCCTAGGCAAAAAGCAAGACCATGTCTCTACAAAAAATTCAAAAACCTAGTTGAGCATGGTGGCTCGCGCCTGTAGTTCCAGCTACTCGGGGGGCTGAGGTGAGACGATTGTTTGTGCCCCGGAGGTCAAGGCTGCCGCAAGCCTTGAATGCACCACTGCACTCCAGCCTAGACAATAGAGCAAGACCCTGTGTCCAAATAAAATGTATTTATTGAGCATCTGCTATGTGCCAGGCGCTGCTCTAGGAGCTGGGAGGGAAGGCTGACAGTAAACATACGTAAAATAGGCATATTAGCTGTGCTGTCCAACACAGTAGCCATTACCTGCAAGTGGCTATTAACATTTATGTTTAAATGAAGTAAAATTAAATAAAATGTAAAATTCAGGTCCTTAGTCACATGTCACGTACTCAGCAGACACAGACAACTGCTGGCTACTGCACCAGCTCGGGTACAGAACACCCTCCTCACAGCAGAAAGTCCTGTTGGCCAGTGCTGATGGCGTTGGAGGGAAGGTGGTTCGAAGTGCTGGGTTTAAATGAAGTGGTCAGGGAAGGCCTCCCGAAGAAAGAAGGCTTTCAGCAGGATCCTGCGGCAGGGGAGGGAGGGAGCCATGGGAGGGATGGCTGTTCCAGGGGAGTCTGAGGAGAGGGTGTTCCAGGCAGAGGTATTGGCAGGTGCAAAGGTCTTGAGGTGGAATCTCAACTGGGATGCCCAGGTAAGGAGCTGAAAGGAGGCCGCTGTGGTAGAAATAGGAGCAGGGAGTCAGGCAGAGGCCAACACCGGAGGGGAATGGCGTCCCATGGAGGACCCTGTCAGCCATCTGGAGTGCAGTGGTGCGTTCGAGGCTTGCTGCAGCCTTGACCTCCTGGGCACGAGCAATCCTCTTGGCTGGGCATGGTGGCTCATACCTGTAATCCCAGCACTTTGGGAGGCAGAGGCAGTGAGGACTGCTGCTGCTGCGGTGGGTGGGAGGACGCCCTGGGAGAGTGGTGAGTAGAGCAGGGACAGGGACTGATTTATGTTTTGCCAAGGTGTGTCTGGCTGCTGTGTGAAAATAGCTTGTCGGGGAGGAAGAGTGGAAGCGGGAGGCCACTGAGCTTTCCCCACTGTTGCAGGTGAGGGAGAACGGCAGCTTGGCCCCGGAAAGGCAGCGGAGGTGGGGAGAAGGAGCCAGATTCTGGAGGTGTTGGGAGGCAGGACCCACAGGGTTCCTTGAAGATTGACTGTGGGAGGGCAGAGAGGAGGGAGGGAGCCCAGGGTGACTAGTTTCTGGGTTACTCCCCTGGAAGGATGGGGTGGCCCTCACAGTGATGTAGGGGAGGGACCTTCCCTCTAGGCGCCCGCATTGACTCTTCCTTATTGGGGGTAAGAAGGGTCACAGCTTTGAGGCGGGCTGCGTGTGATGGCGCCCCACACCACCCCTCGCACATGTTCAGGAACCCAGACATTTGTTCCTATTAACCAACCAGGCCTTGTTTACAGAACAGGGGCTGGGACTTCCAAGCCTCAGCAAGTGGGGAACCTCCATGAGCTGCTTTCTGAACCCTTGACCTTGAGGATTAGGGGCATCTCAAATTTGCTGTCAGCCCAGAAACCCACTGCTCAACTAGAGCTGCACGAGGAGAAACAGCAGAAGCTTCCAGATGGAGTCCTTTGTCAATTCACATCACCTTCAGTATCCTGGGGACAGGGGGAGGAGAGAGGTGGCCCCAGAGCAGGGGCCTGAATCTAGGATTTCACCTCCTAGCCCAGGACTCCCTCTTCCTCCTGCCCTAAGCGGAGCTGGGGTAGTGAGGACTCCAGGGGCTGGGAATCTGCCCTTCTGGGCCAGGGGACCCTGTTAGGCTGCAGCACCAGGAGGGACAGGGTGGGGGCTGGGGGATTGACAGCCACAAGGTTCCTGGGTGACCTGCACGTTGCCAGGCGTCTTTCCAGGGCGAGATAATCTCTCCTGAGAAGAGGAAAGAATTCTAATTACATCTCAGGACAATATTTGTTTGGGGAGACAGGAGACAGAGCATATGGTGGGGAGGGGCGCTGGGCCACATGAAGTGGGGATGTGTTTTCTCATTTACCTGGTGGGATGGAGGATGGCGGATGGAGCAGGGCTCCTGCTGGGCCAGGGGAACCGTCTGCCCTGGGCTGTGGTGGAGAGCTGGGCCCTGCACGGGGCAGGAGGCAGGAGTGGCTCCCACCTCACCCTGGGTGCCCTGAGAGGGTGGAGAATTCTGCACCCATTCCATCCACCGAGCAGCCACTCTGCACCAGCAACTGCCAGCTGCAGGAGCTCTATGTCCCTGTCCTCCTGGAGCTGCCACAGGCACCAGGGCAAGGCAGGAGGTGGGGGACCTTCTTGGGATCCTCAAGGAGGACCTTTCTGGGGGTGATATTTGAGCTGAGCTTTGCCAGATCTGAAGGAGCCAGCCGGGCAAAGAGGGGCGGAGGGAAGGGCATTCCAGAAGGAGAACAGCCAGAGCAAGAGTGAGGCTGGAAAGGGAGGTGTGTCCACAGGACAGGGAGGAAGCCAGGGGAACGGGTGCCGATCGCCACACCTGGGGCCCCAGGGGAGGGTTCTAAGCAGGGGAGAGGCCACATCTGATTTGGTTTTGCAAAGATGGCGCTGGCTGCTGTACTTGGACACTGGAGTAACTCAGGAGGGGAACCGAGCTGGGTGACTGGAAGAACCTGGAAGAGCTGATGAAAGTGGCAGCTCCTCCCGGGCCTTCTTGCCGTCCACATCCAGCCCAGGCCTTCTCTGATCCCTGGCATGCTCTCCCACGGCGCCCAGCTGCTGGTGTGGCCTCCAGGGCCGACACCTACTCCCTCATCCCCATCTCACGCTGGCTGCTGCACACACCCTTGGCCCGCCTTGCTGAGCTTCTCGGGTGCCCACCTGAAGCCAGACCACTCTCACCAGCGGGCTTGCGGGTACCCCCACCCCCTCCACCCGTCCCCCACCGTGCAGGGCCAGCTGCTCCTACGTTACCCACCTCCCTCACCCACCAGCTCTGTGGTTTCCTGAGCCCCGCCACTCTTCCCCCTGTTTCTTGCACAGCCCTGTTCACAGAGACACCTCATGACATGACAGCACGGACGGGCGAGGATGTGGAGATGGCCTGCTCCTTCCGCGGCAGCGGCTCCCCGTCCTACTCGCTGGAGATCCAGTGGTGGTACGTGCGGAGCCACCGGGACTGGACCGACAAGCAGGCCTGGGCCTCGAACCAGGTAATGCCCCTGGGGAGATGCCAAGCGGGGCTGGGGAAGTCCTGGTCCCTGGGGTAGGGGTATCTCTCTGCCCCTCTTCTCCTCTGGGGGATGTGGGCTCCAGCGCTGTTCTCCACACCACACAGCTGTCTCCCTCCCTTCTTCCTCCTGGGGTGGGGGTTTTAGGTGATCATGGAGGCTTATCTGGGGGAACGGGCAGGAGGCAGAGCTAGGCTGAACACTTGAAATGGCCACAGCAAGACGGGCCTTCCAGAGCACAGAGGGCCTCCCTTCAGGGTACAGGTGAGGAAACTGAGGCCAGAGGGACAAGCTGGCTTCAGGTTATGGAGCAAGGTAGGTCTTGTGACTTGCTTCCCACCACTTCTCCAGGCCACACGGGCAGCCTTTTTGTAACAAGCTCTGCAAATGCTGAGTTCATTCACAGGCACACACGCAGGTGTGCACCAGGCTCCCAGCACACCCTTGGCTGCACATGTGCTCGCCCCTCTACACGTGCATGCTCGTGTGTACACACCTGTAGAGCAGATGCTGTGGGGGCTCTGCCCCATGCCCGGTGTGCAGCATGCCTGGGACCAGCCCACTGCCAACTGCCAGCTCCTCCGGCTCTGCTTGAGGGTTTTCTCTGGACACCAGAGCCTGCCAGCCAGCGAGGCAAGCAGGAGGAGCAGGGGACTCAATAGGCAGAAGCAGCCCCCACCAGTGACCTGCAAAGTTGGAGGATGAATGCCCCAGTTCCCTCGCCCTCAGCTGGGATGACCGAAGCATGTTCTTCACTGTCTCCCCGAGTGCCCAGTGGGATGAAGCTGCAGTTGCCTACAGTGGTAACTAACCGACAACATACCTCCCATTATTAACTTTCTTCCCCTTTTGGTTTCACTCACCTTCTCCCCTTACTTGTGCTTCCTGGGATCACCTCCCAAATAAACTGCTTGACCTTTGTCTCAAGGTCAGCTCTTGGAGGAACTCCATCTGAATCATCTGCATCCTTACACATGTGTATACACTAATGAACACGCAAACACATAGAGATCTGCCCACCCATTCATATACGACCACATGTATCTGCACACATTCACAAACACGCATTGGCTCGCTCATACACTCCCCATGTTCATGAAAGAGTGTCTCACATGTGTCCAAAGGCATAGCAAACTCTGTGTTGCTCCTGGAGGTGTCAGCTCCCCAACACTTCCAGCCCTGCCACATGCAGGCTTAGAGGACTCCAGTGGCCAGAGAAAGCCCTTAGGCAAACCGTTGCAGGTGTCTGCGGTTGGAAGCCTCCAGGGTCAGCTTGCAAAGGTGGGGAATGTGGGTAGGGTTCCCACAGCATCTGCACACACGTTCACATGGGTGGCACACCTGAAAGTACAAACACACTCTCAGATAGTGATCAAGAGTACAAACACGCTCCTAGCAACGTACCAAGCCGACGCTTAGATTTCTGCCTGTTCACACTCCCTCCAGTGTATACCAAAGTACCCTTGTGTGTCTAAATGCACAAATGTGGTCATTTTCTACATACCTCCATTATCTTCTTTTGCTCTGACATCCCCTCTGTCCCCTGAGTGGATACAGAAAGCTGAAGGACCCCAACTCCAGACGCCATGGCCCCCGAGCCTCATCTGCTGTCATGAGAATCTTAGCTGTTGTCTGTATCCCTATAATGTGTCTCCCCACACTGCCACCCCACCCCCACCCTGTGCTAACACCTTGTCTCTGCTCTCTCCACCCCTCCCCGCTCCCAACAGCTAAAAGCATCTCAGCAGGAAGACGCAGGGAAGGAGGCAACCAAAATAAGTGTGAGTTTTGATAATGACTTCTCGAAAGGGCTCTAATGGAGGGCACAGCTGTGACTTAAAAAAAAATTGGGGTCCAGTTCAGCAGGGAGCTTGGGCAAGAAGATGGAAGAGAAGAAAAAGAGAAGGGAAAAAAAAATGGCCCTGCTCTGTTTTTTAAAAGCCGGAGATTTTTCAAGTTCGTTCAATGATAGGCACAAAAAATGACAGGGGAGAGAAGATGCATTTTCTCCTGTCGGGGCCAAGGCTGTGTGCGTCCTGGTGCCTTCAGGCTTGTCTCAGCAGCATTTTTTATTTGGGGAACCAACAAGGTCTAATGAGCCTGAGCCAGCTTTTTTTGGCCTATCATTACTGAGTGTTACGCCATCTTGGGGTCACTCGGTGATCTGGCCCTGGGGACGGGGTGGGGGCACTCTAGCCAAAGGATTTCAGGACTGGGCAGGCCTTCTTATTTATTGACTCATTTGTTAGTAGCCCCCCTCTATAAGAAGGGCCAAGCATTCACCCATTTTGCAGGTGGGGCAGCTGAGGCTCAGGAGGTCAAGGACTTGCCCGAGTCACGCCAAGGGTGACTGGTGTTGCTGAGCTACCTGGCTTCAGGGCTCAAGCTCTTTGTCACCGGGCTGTGCTGCAGGCCAGTGCAGCTGGGGCCCAGGGAGTTCAGGGGGTGACAACTTTTGTGAAGGAGGGGGCACCCAAAGCCAGTCCTGGGAGAGGCAGACAGGAGGGAGAAAGGAGGTGAACAGGGGAGAGAACACAGAGTGGAGGGGACCCGCCCGGAGACACATGTGGCCATGCAATGAGGCAAGATTTGTGCATGGGGTGTGAGGTCAGCCTGGCAGGAGGCTAGACATCTGCCAGCACCACACTCAGAAAAGGCAGGTGCCCGTGGGGTATGAATGCGTGTGTGTGCGCGCATGCGCATGGTGGGGAAGCCTTTCGAAATTCACCCTTTTTTGCTTGATTCTTCCACAACTTTTCAAGGACTTGTAGGGGAGCTCAGGTCCCCAAGTCCAATTCGACAGGGATGAACAGAGGAGCCGCACCCCCAAACCGAGGTCACCATGTGGAGACTGGGCACAGGGATCATTGGGGTGCCATGTCGGGCATCAGAGGTGGCATCATGGAGGGAGAGAGGCCAGGCAGGAGGCTCCTGCAGCCCCTTCACCCCCACCCTCTGCCAAGGGCGCATCCATATCGAATGCCCCGTTTCTGGCCCAAATACCCATCCGTTAAGCCCAGGCAGGTAGATCTGTGTGCATATTAATACCCTGTTCATCACAGCCCTTTCTCCTATAATTTTGCTTGGGGTTTAAGGAGCAGCTCTGGCAAAGGAGAGAATAATCTAATTGACTTAGAGGATTAGAATTCCAGGCTGCTGGGTCCCACATGAGGGGAATGCGACGACGTTAATTAGTTAAATAAAATAAATGTGCTCAGCATGAATGTGCAATTACCCCAACCCACCCCCCTCCAGCCCCCGCAATGCCTGCACCAGCTGGGGCTCCGAGGGTCTGGTTAGGAAGCACACAAACAGGCATGGGCCAAGCTCCTCGTGCAGACAGCGCCATGGGAACAACCATTCCTAATACGCAGGTGCTCTCCCTGGATTCCTGCAGTCTGAGGAGGCAGCCCAAACTTTCCTCCGTGGCCTTCAGAACTCTGCACGATTGCTCTGCCCACCCTCCAGCCTCACCTCCTCTTGCCTGACCTCACTCCCCTTCCCCTCCCGACCCTGGCAGCCTTTCCACCTTCCCATTCCTTCCCACCTCTCGGCCTTTGCACAGGCTGGTCCCCCTGCCTGCAAAGCTGTTTCTCTCTCTCTTCCCACAGAGCTCAGCTCGGGGAAGCGTCCCTTGAACTTGTGACCCAGCTGGCGCCCCTCCTATTTCCCTGCTGGCTGTATTTCTGGTTGTCATTATCCACTTGTGTGAGTTTTGGCTTCATGACTGTCTCTCCCAGAGATGGGGGGCACTGGGACTGAGCCTGCTTGACTCACTGTTGCATTTCCAGAGTCTAGCACAGAGCCTGGTATGGTGTAGTAGGTACCCAATAAATATTTGTTGAATAACTATCACACACACAGACATACGCCCAGGCCAATGTGTGTTTGAACCATACACATATTTATTTTATTTTATTTTATTTTCTTTTTTGAGATGGAGTTTCACTGTTGTCACCCAGGCTGGAGTGCAGTGGCGCGATGTCGGCTCACTGCAACCTCCGCCTCCTGAGTTCGAGAAATTCTCCTGCTTCAGCTTCCCCAGTAGCTGGGACCACAGGAGCATGCCA